CCCACAGCTCCTCCTCCTCCTCACTTGTGCGCTGTGATTGCTCTAGCTTTGCTCATAATTGTGAACTTTTAAACTGTTGCTTCTTGTACTTGTGCTCAGAATGTGTGGTGACATTGTGATCCACCCTGAGCTTGTTCTATGCCTGCTTGCTCTGCTGATTACACCCCACTTTGGCTATGGGGGTGTGTCAGAATGTTCTTATCTAGCCTGTAGTGGGGTGCTCTATAGCGAGTACAACCCTGTTAGGGTTTGCTATATGTATCCCAACTGCTGCTAGTCAAATCCTCTCTTCTTTCTTCTAAACTTTGACGGAGGCCGTACTTCGTTCCGCTCCTTGAGCAGGTTCTTGGTCTCCCGCCATCTACTGGTCCTGCTCCTCCCTTAACGTGTCCACAGCCTGTCCAGTCGCGGTCACAGTTACAGCCTGCCTTCCCCCTGCGTGCTCCTTCTCCCTACACTGGTCCTATTGGAGGTCTTGCTGAGCGTCGTGAGCCTGCGTCTCATCCTGCGTTGCCTGTTCATGCTGCTCACACTAGTGGTCGTGCTCCGCGTCCACGTGCTCCTGCGGTCCCAGGCACAAACCAGATGGCACTGCGTCCTTCCACTGCTCCTCTGCGTATCCCGTTGCCGTCTCCTCCAGAGTCCTCTCTTCCTACTCTTACTGACCCGGAGTCTGACTCTCTTCGTGCTGCCAGTCCTACTGTCACGCGTCTCCTGGCTACTGTTGTCACTGACCCTTCCTTTGAGTCCACTACTACGTCTGCCTTAGTTGCTAAGCTTGTCGACTTTGCTGCTCACTATCATCTAGACTACGCTGCTATTCTTGTTGCTGAGTCTGAGTATGTCTGTCCTCCGTCCGTCGGGGGTGAGTGTGTTCTTAGCACGGACGTCGTTGAGGACAAGCAGGAGGAGTTCCAGTGTTTGCTGCTGCTTTGCCTCATCTCGTGTCCACGCTGATTGCCCCTGAGTGAGACCCGGATGCACCAGACATCCCGACTCCTCGATCGTACGCTGAGGCGATCGAGGGTCCCTACTCCTCACAGTGGCATTCAGCCATGGACGCAGAGATGGCTTCCTCGAAGTCCACAGGCACCTACGTCGACGAGGTACCCCCATCTGGGGCGAACATCGTCAATGGCATGTGGATTTTCAGGGTGAAGCGGCCGCCGGGTTCTCCGCCTGTCTTCAAGGCGCGTTACGTGGCTCGAAGCTTCAGTCAGCGGCAGGGAGTTGACTACTTTCAGACCTTCTCCCCCACCCCGAAGATGACCACTCTTCGGGTGCTGCTGCACATAGCCGCTCGGCATGACTACGAGCTTCACTCTCTTGACTTCAACACAGCTTTCTTGCAGGGCAGCCTTCGCGAGGAGATCTGGTTGCGCCGCCCACCTGACTTCACTGGGTCGTTTCCTCCTAGGACCCGGTGGAGCCTCCGACGGCCCGTCTACGGTCTCCGCCAGGCGCCCCGTGAGTGGCATGACACACTGAGGACTACACTTGCGGCTCTTGGGTTTGCTCCGTCTACTGCCGACCCGTCGTTGTTTCTGCGCATCGACACCTCCTTGCCGCCTTTCTACATCCTCGTGTACGTCGACGACTTGGTCTTTGCCACAACTGACACTGCTGGACTCGCCCACGTGAAGTCCGAGCTACAGAAGAGACACACGTGCACAGACCTGGGTGAACTACGCAGCTACCTTGGCTTGCAGATCACCCGGGACAGAGCACAGCGCACCATTACCCTGACTCAGTCACACATGGTGCAACAGGTCCTTCAGCGCTTCGACTTCACGTACTCCTCGCCTCATGCCACTCCTCTGTCTACTCGCCACTCGCTCTCAGCTCTGCGTTCGGATGAGTCCGTTGAGCCGAGTGGCCCGTACCCAGAGCTTGTTGGCTGCCTCATGTACCTGATGACCTGCACACGACCTGACCTTGCATACCCTCTTACCATCTTGGCACGCTATGTTGCTCCTAGGAGACACCGACCATAGCACATGGCTGCAGCGAAGAGGGTGTTGCGCTACTTGTGCAGTACGTCGGGCATGGGGCTAGTGCTTGGAGGGCGACGTCCAGTGGTCCTCACAGGTCACGCAGACGCTTCTTGGGCTGACGACCAGGCTACGCAGCGGTCGTCACAGGGTTACACCTTCAGCCTTGGCTCGGGCTCTGTCTCGTGGCGGTCTACCCGCTTGTTTTCTGTTCTCGGCTCCAGCAGTGAGGCTGAGATCTACGCGGGGGCCATGGCGGCACGAGAGCTACGCTGGCTCACCTACCTGCTGAGTGACCTAGGAGAGCGCCTCGTTCTCCTCCAGTTCAATAAGTAGACAACAAGGCCATGATGTCCTTGTGTCGGGAGCACAGACTGGAGCACAGAACAAAGCACATTGCTCTTCGCTACTTCCTTGCTCGTGAGCTGCAGCAGCGTGGTCAGCTGCGCCTTGCTTACGCGGCCTCTGAGGCCAACACTGCTGATATCTTTACCAAGGCACTTCCGTCTTGTGATCATCAGCGCTTTTGTACGATGCTAGGTCTTGTGCCTACTTGGCCTCACTTGCTCACTTCTTGACTTTGCTTGTACTATGAATTATATATACCTGCACTTGCATGCTTACCCTTGCTAGGTTGAGATCATTGTCTTGTTTGTTCATCTTGATATATAACTCTGCATGTGAACTGGCCTTGTGGCCTTGTGATTGTGCTCAGATCGTGTGGTGATGTTGTGATCCACCGTGAGCTTGCCTTGCTTCTCTTGACTGGTCTTGTGACCTCTTGTTCTCCCCCACTTTGCCTATGGGGGTGTGTCAAACTTATATGCTATAGTCTGTGTAGGCTGTAGTAGGGTAGCTCATATGGGGTACAACACTTTAGGGTTTCCTACTTGTACTCCTCATGCTGCTCAATGCAATCATTCCTCATTTTCTCACACCTTGTTCTTCCCCACTTTGCCTATGGGGGTGTGTCAAACATATATATGGCTTAGGTTATTGTCTAGGCTGTAGTGGGGTTGACAATAAGGGGTACACCAGTTTAGGGTTGCCTTTTTGTACCAAACTCATCCTCTAGTCATTCATTCCTGCCTAGCGTTTTGACACAGAGTGCGACGGCTTTCTCAAAATATGTCTGCTCTTTCGAGAATTATGCTAACGCGTTTGTTTCTACTGAACTTTCTCGTTCTTCCGTCGTGCAGGGAGCTCGGGATTATCTGGACTGCCGACGGCGTTGACCACAAACTTCGCCTTGCGGCGCGTGGCGGAAAGCGGCAGGAGCGCTGCGACGGGTTTATGAAGGCCATTGAGATCGACGGCAAGATGATCCCCCGCATGTAGCTCGGCGACGTGGTTACCAGCACTGGTAGACTCGCGATCGAATTTCACGCACACGTAATGTAGGGGCCGATCGCCATGGATTACTACCTTCTAACCATCGACGGTCTCGTGGCGCTCGATTTGAGGCTCCGCGTCGCACACCCCAAGCTGCAGACGCCGTCAGACGCGGAGGTGCATCTGAATGTCGGGATCGCGGAGTTGGAGCACACGGACGATATTCACGGCGTGCTCGGGCAGACCTACCGCGAGGACCATGCCCAACGTGCGGCGGATTTCCAACGGCTTATTGCGACGCTTAACCACCCAATTATCGCGGATGGCGCTGAGGGAGAGGGGTTCCTGGATAGTACTCCGAGGTCGTATGAGGCGAGCCGTGTGCACGCGGTTGACTGCGCGTACACTGCTTTTGACCGTGCACAGTACGTCATGCCCGTGTCTCGGTTTCCGTAATGCGGCGACGTGCTGCTGGGTGTATTGTATGGTGGGCTGCGTTTGTTGAGGGAATGTCTGGTGTGATACGCTGAAATGTATGGTATGGTGCTGATTGTGTGGTGCTGTGGCTGCTCTGGTGTGGTGTGCTTGTCCGTCTTGGGCGAATGCCCTGGTGTGCTCTCTCTGGTGGGCTGATTGATATGTTGTAGTCTCTCATGTTGGCCTGAATGTTTTCACCGGCATTCGTTTGGTTATCCCGTTGTGTGTATAGTGTGGTGGGCTTCTTTCTTTCTTGCTAGCTTTTAGTCCACTGGTTGCTGTTTATTTTCCCTTTTTCCGGTGGGCTGATACTATTTGTTCATTATTTTTTTATTTGGTGGGCTGTAATAATTCTTTTGATATATGACCTTTCATGATGATCTGTGTGGAAAATGCTACCATCGAATAAAGTCACAACACTTTTGCAATGGTGTCAGCCTTCGCAGCGAAACCCAACCATTGGGCTTGCGATGTTCGTGAATGAGTGAGTGCACGATCGCCAACCTTGAATGCACGCTCACACCTCCAAAAACGCAATTGGAAAGCAGATTTAATCTACAGTACCATCTTCAACCCAAGCCAACCTTGAAGCTGTCAAGAAGCGAACAATGCTGACCATCTGCACAGAATTCGTCAGTTTCGCGCGCAGACATGTTGATTTCGTCAACCGGTAACAGGTGTCGCCCGCAGCCTATGCTGCACATGCGTGCGTCACCACAGCATATGCAACTTAGCGAACCCAGGCAGCTGACCACAGCCTCTGCAGCAAACACAGCACATGATGATATTGTTGTGACCCCAAGTACCATCAGCGCTGCTAATTGTCACAACAACATATGCTGATTGTTAAAACCCCACGCTGATGTTGTTACCATCAGCGCTGACAGTTCGGCACATCTTATTCCACAGCAATATCACGTGCTGACTTTTTCGCGTTCGGCACCTTCTCAACGCGACGTCGTTGCGATGCGCGAATGCTCAAGAACAGATGCTTCTGAGCGCAAAAATCCGTAGTGTGCCAACGTTTTTACGCCTCCCGTACGGATTTCGAATTACGTAGTCACCTCGCTATTGACTCAAGGAACGCCTGTAACCCTGTCACTGTCACTACACTGTCACTCTACTCGCGGTTAGCACTGCTGCCGCTCTGGAACGATCGAACTACGAAAAGCCGGTACGTTACCTGTAATGCCCAAGGCAATGCGTTACTTAACCCGTTCGTTTCTTCCACATCGACCTAAAATCATCCTTGCGCTTTTCCCTCCCTGCGCCGTTCCCCACCGTTCCTCACCGCTCCCCATCGCTGACTGGCCTTGCATGTCGTCCTTATTCCAGTGCCAGGTCCGCCTATCCTCTCCTTGCCTTTCCTTCTCTGTGCAGGCACCAGTTGCAATGGGTTCATTCAAAGGCGGCTCCAAAGGCGCCACAGCAGCGGCGGAGAGGAGAGGAGGGGATCGCTGAGGCTCACTCCCCCTCCGCCATCCCCCTTCCCCTCCTCTGCTTCTCCGTCCCCTCATCCTCTCCCCACCCCCCTTCCCCCCCCCTCCTCCCCTTTCCTCCACCCTCTCCGCCAGGCGCAATGGATTCATTTAGAGGCGGGTCCAAAGGCGCAACAGCAGCAGTGGCAGCAGCGGCGGAGAGGAGAGGGTCGCTGAGGCAATGCAAGGCTCGCTCACTCTTCCCTCCTCCCTGTTCCCTCTCCCTCCCCCCTGTTCCCCTTCCCTCCTCCCTGTTCCCCTTCCCTCCTCTGCTTCTCCGTCCCCTTTCCCCCATCACCCTCCTTCCCCCCACTTTCCCCCCACTTTCCCCCCACTTTCCCCCCACTTTCCTCACGTCCCCCCCTCCTCTCCCCCCCCCCCCGTCCCCTTTCCTCCACCCTCTCCGCCAGGCGCAATGGATTCATTCAAAGGCGGGTCCAAAGGCGCGACGGCAGTGGCAGCAGCAGCGGAGAGGAGAGGGTCGCTGAGGCAACGCAAGGTGGCGGCTGATGTGGTGGCTGTGATGCTGGATGAAGGCACGCGGAAGCGAGTGAGTGAGTGAGGGAGTGAGTGAGGGAGGGAGTGAGGGAGGGAGTAAGGGTTTTCGTTTTTTATGACACCCAGGGACGGGGAAAGAATGAGTGGTTTTTAGGTCTGCGGCATGGGAAAATGAGTGAGAATGGAATAAGTGGAATGGAGGGGAGGCGGAGAGGAGAGGGTCGCTGAGGCAACGCAAAGTGGCAGCAGATGTGGTGGCTGTGATGCTGGATGAGGGCACGCGGAAACGAGTGAGTGAGTGATGTGTGTGTGATTGTACGGGACAGGAAATGAGTAAATGGCTGTTATTCAAACTGGCAACGCAAGGTGGCGGCAGATGTGGTGGCTCCGATGCTGGATGAAGGTGCAAGGAAACGAGTGAGTGGTTGATGTGCTAAGTGATTGAGAAGGTCAAGGAGCGAGGGAGTGATTCGTGGGACTGTGTTGCGGAAACGAGTGACTGAGCGCGTGCTGTTTAAAGTGAAACCAAGGGAGGCGAATCATGAAATTGCTCCAAAATTGCTCATAAGACTTGTCAAAAATGGTACAGGGAGTGAGGGGCGAGACTGGAACAAATGGAGTAGAGGGGAAGCGGAGAGACGAGACTCGCTTTCTCTGACATTTCTCTCTCTCGCTCACTTCGCTCTCAAACAGGCATCTCATTTGCCTTCCTTGTTGCGTTTCTCCGAGGCAGCAGCACGATTAGATTCTCCTGAGAGTGAATACATCCTCTTTTTTTTTTCATGCATCCCTCCCTGTTGAGTTTCTCTCTGTCTCCAGTGTACCCACCCACCCACCCAGGCAGCAGCAGCTCAATTAGAGGCTCTGGAGTGATTATACCGGGGTGGATGCTGCTGTGGTGGATGAGGATGATGAGATGATACTGGTACAACGTGTACCTTTCCTTTCTCTCACCTGTTCCCCGCCCTCTCGCATGCACCCAGGCAGCAGCGGCGCGACTGGAGGCTCTAGAGAGTGACTATACCGGGGTGGATGCTGCTGTGGATGAGGATGATGACGTGTTCAATGCAGAGGAGGAACTGGTGCAAGAAGGTATGCTTATAGCGAGTAATGGACAATAAGGGCATGCTTATAGCGAGGAAAAAGGAGGTGTGCTGAATGGTCGATTCAGTCGGTGCATGGAAAGAAGGGGGTGTGGGACGTGTCTCATAACGAGGAAGCACAGCTTAGGGTACAAGTGGCAACTCACCCCCACCATGCTTCTCCCTCGCTTCCATGCCAGGAGGTGTTACGGGTCGCTACAATGCACAAAGGCACGCATAGTTTGTGGGGCACGAATGCTTGCTAGGGGTACGAATGCTTGCTAGGGGCACGAATGCTTGCTAGGGGCACGAATGCTTGCTAGGGGCACGAATGCTTGCTAGGGGCACGAATGCTTGCTAGGGGCACGAATGCTTGCTAGGGGCACGAATGCTTGCTAGGGGCACGAATGCTTGCTAGGGGCACGAATGCTTGCTAGGGGCACGAATGCTTGCTAGGGGCACGAATGCTTGCTAGGGGCACGAATGCTTGCTAGGGGCACGAATGCTTGCTAGGGGCACGAATGCTTGCTAGGGGCACGAATGCTTGCTAGGGGCACGAATGCTTGCTAGGGGCACGAATGCTTGCTAGGGGCACGAATCACGATATGTTGCGGGAAGCCAACCTGACAACCCTCTGTCTGATGTGCTTGCCAGATATTACCGATTAAATAGTTGGTATGATGGAAGGTATCAGCAACAACCAGAGCTCCGGTTACGGTGAGGTAAATCGATTTGACTTTTGTGTTTCGTGTTATTCATATTATTTAGACGCCCGCTCTAGTTTAACGACATTCTGTCGCTTTCTTCTTCCTTATTGTGCTCCTCGTTTGTGTGTTTCCTTCCGTCCCCGTTTGATGCGTTCGCCCTTGCTATCTTCCCCTTTCGTTCCCGTCTTCCTTTGACTGCCCACCACGTTTGACTCTGGCCATCCGAGGCAAGAGGTGCACAAGGCAGGCTCTCTGGGAGTCAACTTTTGAGTCGACCCTTCAGTCAACTCTTGAGTCAACTCTTGAGTCAACTCTTGAGACAAATCTTGAGTCAACTCTTGAGTGCCCACCAGGCTTCGCACCAGCCAAGCGAGTGAGCCGTCCGGGCAAGAGGCGCACGAGACAGGCTGCTGCTGCCGTGGTGAGCAGAGCGAGCAAGCGAACTCCCAAGACGTTTGCAGAGCTGCTAGAAGAGGTAGGGCATGGGGTGGGTAGGATAGAGGGAGGGAGGGGAGGGGGAAGGAAGGGGTAACACATGGTTGGATAGGAAGTGGATGAGAGTTTGGTTGGTAATTTTTTTTTTTCCCCCGAGTACTTTTTTGTTTTTTTTTTTTTTAAGTTATTATTCAAAGTTTTTCTGAGAATTCCCAAAATTACTGCATCGGTCGGGTGGGAAGTGGATGACAATTCGGCTGGTAGGTGACATTGACGGATGAAATAAGATGGGTTCTGAGACGTCTCAAAGCCAATCTTATTTCACGGGTAGGAAGTGGATGAGAGTAGGGTTTATACGTGGCAATGTCAGAGCGAGCAAGCGAACGTTCAAGACGTTTTCTTGCAGAGCTGCTAGAGGAGGCAAGTCGTGGGGTTGGTAAGGGCGGGTAAAGAAGTATGGTGGGTAAGACCTGGGGCGGGTAAGACCTGGGGCAGGTGAGGCTGCTTGTGCTCACCCCTTCCATACCCCAAGCGCCATCCATAGTCGAGTCTAGAAGCCCTGTACTTACCCCTCGGACACACACCTCTTTCTTCCCACACCCCACCACCCTCTCTCCCCATCGGCGAGTCTAGAAGCCCTGCCACCAGGCACGCCCTCCTTACCTCACAGCAGCAGTGGAGCCCGGCTGCTGCCTCTGTGTATTGTTTGTGTGCTCACCCCTGCCATGCTTCTCCCTCGCTTCCATGCCCCCTCCTCACTCCCCACAGGCGAATCTAGAGACCCTGCCACCAGGCACGCCCTCCTACCTCACAGCAGCAGTGGGCCCTCCAACAGCCGCCTCAGTGCGCCGCTTCTGCTCTGCGTGTGGCAGCCACGCGCCCTACACATGCCCCCGCTGTGCCGCCCGCTTCTGCTGCATCAGCTGCCAAAGACTGCACAACGAAACCCGCTGCCTCAAGTTTGTCATGTAGTGATTTATGATCAGCTAGAATATTGATAAGCGTGTTGTGCTGTTTGGGGAATCTGTGTGAATCACTGCTGCTTTGCTGTGTCTAATTTCTTATTTGGAGGTGTCTCAAAACAGTTGTGTTGATTCGCTGTGTACAGAACAGTTAATGATTTGATTTGATCTGATTTTAACAGCTGTCTCTACTTGAAAGAGCTTCCACGTGAAGGAACTGCTGCTGCGGCCATGCTTGTTGTCACTCCAGCACCTGAAGATGGCAAAGCTAGTCCAGCAACCGAGCTTCAGTGATTCAGTGATTTCAATAAAGGGCCTACAGCAAACGGGCTCAATATATTTTGTTCATTTTCTTTTATATATATTTACACATGCTAGCATCCCAAATACATGTTAACATCCATTTTCTGTGCGTAAATTGACAACAAATGGTTATGGAGAGAAAAAGCAATGATTATATATCCTGAAAACATTACAGTTGAAATGTGCATGAATCGCAAACGCGGACCACAATGTGTGGTGAGTGCGAAGGTTTTCGCACTAGGTGTGCAATTATTGCTCGGCCGCACACCCCGCGTTACTTGTACATTATGATCGCCCCACTTACATTCGATCCCCACAACAAAAACCTTGCACCACTCCTGACCGCTGGAAAACTTCACTTACCCGCTGGTTTTCAATACCCCTCTCACAGAACCCAACCGCGCCAGGAAACCAACCAGCACTTTCACATGTTTCATAATTTCGATGTGCGTCACAAATACCAGAGCATTAGCAAACGTGGTGGCCAGTTCCCCAGCGATAGCGATAAGCGCCGCATTCGTCGGTACCATGAGGTCCAGCAATCGAACGAGGCGCTACGAGAGGCATCATGGGGCTGAAACGCCTCCTCTGATGTCGAGCCGCAATATTCCAGCAAAGTCTGCACTCGGCACTCACGCTAGCGTATTTAACGCGGAGGAAGTTGGAAACAACTCATTCACCGCTAGTAACAGCAGCTAAACAAATTCAGTACCAACCCCCTCAGCGGTTCTTTCCCATCTCAGAAGACTGCCATATCGAGCTCTATCATGGGCGCGCTTCGTCATCGCTTTCTGCTCGCGCTCGTCCTCGTGGCGTCTCTAAACTTCCTCGCGGTTTTCGCGGCGCAGCCTCCGCCGGATGGGTACTACGGCGCGAGTGAGCCGGCGCTGGAAGAAGCATACGACCAGCGCGCGCTCCTGGAGGCCGAAAGCGATGCCTCGCTTGACTCCGTTGACTCGGTTGACTTGGAGGACTCGCGGGTGCTTTCTCGATGGGGGATGCAGCGGCGGACTTGAAGCAGACGTCGGACGACCTCAGCGGCAGCGTGAAGAAAGCTGTCGGGCAGGCGGGGAGGAACGTGCGCAACTCGATCGGCTCCATGGTCGGAGTCCCGCCCAACAAGGGCACGAAGAAGCACCACCGCCGCGGCGGGAAGAAAACTGGGCGCCGCGGCGGGAAGAAAACTGGGCGCCGCGGCGGAAAGAAAACTGGGCTGGCGGGAGCTCGTAAGCGCAAATCGGGCGCGGCAGCCCCCAAGACGTCCGCTGCGGGGGTTCCGAAGAAGCAGGGGGCGGGAGGTAAGCTCAACTCCGGCGCAACCCCCAAGAAGCCCGCTGCTGCCGCTGCTGGCGCGACGGGGGCTCCTAAGAAGCAGGAGGCGGGAGCTAAGGACACCTCGGGCGCAGCACCCGAGTCCCCCGCTGCTCCCGCTGCTGCAAACGAGCCGCGCGCGCTCCTCGAGGCGGCCGACAGTGATGCCGTGATTGACTCCGTTGACTCGGTTGACTTCGACTCCGTTGACTTGGAGGATTCGCGGGTGCTTCTCTCGATGGGGGATGCAGCGGCGGACTTGAAGCAGACGTCGGACGACCTCAGCGGCAGCGTGAAGAAAGCTGTCGGGCAGGCGGGGAGGAACGTGCGCAACTCGATCGGCTCCATGGTCGGAGTCCCGCCCAAGAAGGGCAAGAAGAAGCACCACCGCCGCGGAGGGAAGAAAGCTGGGCGCCGCGGCGGGAAGAAAACTGGCCCCGCGGGAGCTCGTAAGCGCAACTCGGGCGTAGCAGCCCTGAAGACGGCCGCCGCTCCCGGCGCTGCTGGCGGGAAGGCGGTTTCGAAGAATCAGGCGGGAGGTAAGCTCAACTCTGGCGCGCATGCGCTGGGAGCAAAGGGCACCTCGGGCACAGCCCCCAAGCCCACCGCTGCCAGCAGTGCTGCGAGCAGTGCTGCCAGCAGTGCTGCACCCAGCATTTGATTCGAAAAGCAGCCAGCAGACGTGCAATGGAGGGTTGCAGGGCGGCAGGGTGGCTTGGTCCTTCTACACAGGGAGATGCGGCGAATGGCAACCGAATGACCCGGTCTAATGCATGGGGAAGGGGGGGCTCTAGAAGGCCCGTTGCTTGTGATGTGGCGAGCTTGTGGCAGTGGTTCCGCGTGTGTGTGTCTGTGTGCTTGTTTCTCTTTGAAAACACCTTTGTGAGGGAGGCGTGGTGGGTAGGAAATAGAAGGCAAGAGATGGGCTGCAAGGATACGTAGAAGGGGTTAGGAAAGAAAATTGACGTTTCTGCTTTGCTTGTGCTTTCTTCGCATCTCAGGGTTGATGATGTATTGCATGTGGTGGTGGGCTGTCATGTAGTGCAATTTGTGGTTCAATTCCAATGTTTCAGATTTCTTTACCAACAAGGCTACTACAGTAGAGACGAGGCAACAAAATGTCCCATACCTAAATAGCTTAGCACTGGCTTTATCGGCCAGCTCCAATTTTGTCCTGATATTTTCAAACCAGCCGGTTGTTGCTGCTGCTCCATTGTCACGTTATTCGCGTGAAGTTCAGCAATTGTTGGTTGGGTGGGTACGTGTTCGTTGGAGATGGCTGATTTTCCCTTGATGGGAAAGTCCTAGCTCCGCAGGCAACGGTGACGGCAATGTTACAAAAAGGTCAAGAGCGACGACCGACTTCTTTCTTCCTCTAGCCTATGCTCGTCATAACTAAGTTTGTTCTAAAACGTCTAATAACGAGTACAGGCACCGGCTACAGTCACTCTGCCTCTTCAATGACCTCCTTCACCGAATTAACCTGCATCCGGACATACAGGCAGACACGGGCAGACACGGGCAGAGACAAGGGCAGACACGTGCAGGTCAGGGCAAACAAGAGCAGAGATGGGCGGACCAGGCAGTGAGCTGATGTGAGAGAAGCAGGCAAAGTGTAATGCATGAACGTTATTATACACGACAAACACTCAGCATTCATTACAATTATGCCCCTGTTCAACCCCACATTCGACTCTGAAGCACAGTCCATGAGTATCATTCCCAACCCGCTCTCTAGAGTCACAAATGGGGAGAGGATGAGAAATGGTATGCCTTCATTTCATTCACTGTTATCACATCCGTTCTCCACTCCACTATTTATTGTTACAGATGGGGAAAAACATGGTCCACCATTATTCGCTACAATCACATCCACAAAGCTCACCTCTGGAATGTAATGTGTGAGCATGCTCTCCACGCCGCTCTTTAGAATCACAGAGGAGCTCGGGCAGCCACTGCAGGCGCCTGTCATGCGCAGATACACGATTCCCGTGGCCCTGGGGGGTGGATGGTTGGCAAGCAAGTGGGGGGTGGGGAGAGCAAACCACACAGGCTTAAATGAAACCGCACACAAGGCTCGGGCAGCCACTGCAGGCACCCTTCATGCGCAGATACACGATTTCCGTGGCCCTGGTGGGTCCGTGGCAGTGAGGGGAGGGGAGAGCGTAACACACAACAGGATGTGAGGGGTTATATGAAGGGCGACGCACAGGGCAGGGGAAGCCACTGCAGGCGCCCTTTCATGCGCAGGTACACGATTCCCGTGGCCCTGCAGGAATGGATGGCAGTGAGGAGAGGGAGGGCACAACAATCAGAGCTGGATTAAGAAGGGTGCCATGGCTTGAACAGCCCCTGCAAGCGCCTTTCATGCACAGATGCACGATTCCCGTGGCGTGGATGGTACGCAAGGTGACACGGGCGTGCGATCATGCTTGGTGAGGCATAAGAAAAAGGCCTGGGCAGGCACAGCAAGAGGGTGACGTGGCAAGGTGATGATGTGGCAAGAGGGTGACGTGGCAAGTGTTTGACATGGCAAGCGGGTGACGTGAAGCGCTCACTCGTCAAAGTCAACAAAGTCATTGTCCCCTCTGTCCTCCTGCAATGCCGGTCGACCTTTTAAGACATCTCAAAAGTCAACAATGTGAATCCAAGTCAGACTCACTCGTCAAAGTCAACCAAGTCAGACCCACAAGTCAAAGTCAACCAAGTCAGACTCACTCGTCAAAGTCAACAAAGTCAGACCCACTGGTCAAAGTCAACCAAGTCAGACTCACTCGTCAAAGTCAACAAAGTCAATGTCCCCTCCGTCCTCCTGCACTGCCGGTCGAATGCGCGTCTCCAGCAGCTCCCTTATCATCAGCACAGTCTCACTCTCATCTAGAGAGGGGTGGCAAAGGCGGGAGGGAAAATGCGCACATTCAAATGGGAAAAGAAAGGGCAACCAGAGGAGAGAAGCTACGAAGCATTCTCCAGCAGCTCCCTTATCATTAGCACCGTCTCACTCTCCTCCTGAAGGGGAAGCAGCGTTTGGGAGGGGTTGGCGAAGCGGGGAGAAGACACGGGGAGATTGGCTGGGAGCGGGTTGAAAGCGAGTCTCCAGCAACTCGCGTATCATCAACACCGTCTCACTCTCCTCCTGAGAGGGGTGGTCAACGGGGGCAGGGGAAACAGCAGGGGGAGGTGTGAGTTCAGCCCACGACTACTGTATCATCATCAGCACCATCTCACTCTTGATCTGAAGAAAGACAAGGGGGGAGGAGCCGAGTAAAGAAAGAACAAATTTCAGCTCCTTTTCAGGTTGATGCACACCACCCCACCTCTACTCCTACCCATTGCCACCGCACCTCACCTCATCTCACCACTTTCCCCCACTGCGCCTGTACTGATAAGCCATTCCCCCCACCCCACCTTTGCCCTTCATTCCTCCACCCCATCCCTGCCCCTCATTCCCCAACCCCTCTCCCCACTTCATCACTCACCCCACCCCACCTCTGTGGGTTATTGCTCCCCACCCCACCTCTGCGGTTTGTTGCTCCCCACCCCACCTCTGCGGGTTGTTGATCCCCACCCCACCTCTGCAGCTGCTGCTACCTTTGCCTGGGGGTTCAGCACCGCACCTATCCAACTCACCTCTCTACTCCTGCAATTTCCTACCCCACCTCTGTCTCACCTCACCTTCTCTACTCCTATCACTCCCCCCACCCCACCTCTGCCGGTTGTTGCTCCCCACTAGCTGCTGCTGCCTCTGCCTGGGGGTTCAGCACCGGCTGCCCGGAAGCAAAAAAGTCCATCAGGGCAGCAAAAATCTCTGGCATGAGGAGATCCCAGGAGCTCTCCTCCGTTTTTGTCCAGTCACAGATTCACCCCCCAAGAACACCCGAGCCACACCTGCGAAATGGTGCAGGGATGGTGTGGAGGGATGGTGATGAAATGTTGGTTAAATGGAGAAGCACCAGTGGCAGTGGCAGTGGCAATGGCAATGGCAGGTCAGGCGAAAAAGATAGTGCAGTTGGGCGCCGAAAAAAGAGAAACCGCTTACCATCAATGGGAACAGTGCAATTGCAAGTGGAGATGCTAGGGCAGCTGGAGGAGGTAGGGCATGGAGTGGGTAGGATAGAGGGAGGGAGGGGAGCGGGAAGGAAGGGGATAACACATGGGTCGGATAGGAAGTGGATGAGACTTAGGTTGGTAGGGTTTTTGTGAGAATTCTCAAGGGTTTTTTTTAGTATTCTCAAAATAACACATTTGTCGTGTGGGAAGTGCATGAGAGTTTGGTTTGTACGTGATTTTGACAGATGAAATAAGATTGGTTCTGAGACGTGTCAAAGCCAATCTTCTTTCACGTGTAGGAAGTGGATGAGAGTCTGGTTTATACGTGGCAATGACAGAGCGAGCAAGCGAACGTTCAAGAAGTTTTCTTACAGAGCTGCTAGAGGAGGCAAGTCGTGGGGTTGGTAAGGGCGGGTAAAGAAGTATAGACGGTAAGACCTGGGGTGGGTGAGGCCGCTTGTGCTCACCCCTTCCATACCCGAAGCGCCATCCATAGTCGAGTCTAGAAGCCCTGTACTTACCCTTCGGACACACACCTCTTTCTTCCACACCCCACCCTCTCTCCCCCACAGGTGAGTCTAGAAGCCCCGCGACCAGGTACGCCCTCCTACCTCACCGCAGCAGTGAGGCCCCCCACAGCCACCTCAGTGTGTCGCTGTCAGAAGTCTAGGCAGGAATGAATGGACTAGAACAGAGTTGAGTACAAATATGAAACCCTAATTGGGCTATACCCCATGTTAGCTACCCCACTACAGCCTAGACATATATAGCATATATATCATTTGACACAACCCCATAGGCAAAGTGGGGGAGAGCAAGGGGTCACAAGACCAGTCAAGAGAGGCAAAGCAAGCTCAGGGTGGATCACAACGTCACCTCACACACTGAGCACAAGCAAAGGGCCACAAGGTCTGTTCACATGCAGAGGTATATATGCAACAACAACAGCATAGTGATCTCTACCGAGAAAGAACAAGCATGCATGTGTATGTATGTATGTATATATATATAAATATATATACATATATATATATATAGATCACAGTACAAACAAAGCCTACAGCAAGTGAGGAAACGTAGGCACAAGGCCCAACAAGGTACAAAAGAGCTGATGCTCACTAGACGGAAGTGCCTTGGTGAATATTTCAGCAGTGTTGGCCCGAGTGGCCACGTAAGCAAGACGTAGCTGACCACGCTGCTTCAGCTCTCGAGCAAGGAAGTAACGCAGAGCGATGTGCTTTGTTTTGTGCTCCAGTCTGTGCTCCTGACACAAGGCAATGGCGGCCTTGTTGTCTACGTACAGAACTGGAGGAGAACGAGGCCGCTCTCCCAAGTCGGTCAGCAGGTAGGTAAGCCAGCGTAACTCCTAAGCAGCCATGGCTGTAACGTAGATTTCAGCCTCACAACTGGAGCTGAGAACAGAGGAAGAGCGTGTAGACTGCCAAGAAACAGAGCCAGAGCCAAGGCTGAAGGTGTAACCCTGTGATGACCGCTGCGTAGCCAGGTCGTCAACCCAAGAAGCGTCTGACTGACCAGTGAGGACAACTCCGCCCCGTCCTCCAAGCACGAGCCCCATGCCCGATGTACTGCACAAGTAGCGTAGTACCCTCTTAGCAGCATCCATGTGCACCTTTCGGTGCCGACTAGGAGCCACGTAGCGAGCTAGAAGGCCAAGAGGGTACGCAAGGTCAGGACGAGCGCAGGTCATCAGGTATATGAGGCAACCCACTAGCTCTGGGTAAGGACCACCAGTACCAGCAGCTCCAGCACCACCAGCAGCTCTAGCACCTCCAGCAGCTCCAAAACCTCCAGCTCCAGCTCCTCGAGCGCCTGCACCACCAGCAGCTCCAGAACCTCCAGCGCCAGCACCTCCAGTACCAGCATCACCAGCAGCTCCAGAACCTCCAGTGTCATCACCTCCGTACCAGCGTCACCAGCAGCCCCAGAACCTCCAGTGCCAGCACCTCCAGTAACAGCGTCATCAGTAGCTCTAGAACCTCCAGCGCCAGCACCTCTCGTACCAGCGTTACTCGCAGCAGCACCCCCGGAACCGGCAACTCTGGAACCAGGGTCTCCAGCCTTAGCGTCTCCAGCAACGGCACCCCCAGACTCAGTACCGCCAGGCCCAGCAACTCCATTACCTCCAGTACGAGCACCTCCAGAACTAGCGACTCCACCACCTCCTGTAGACAAAGTACCAGCACCAGTCCCAGCTGCAGAGCCCCGAACTCTAGCAGCGTGACCCTGACGGCTAGCGTACCACTCGTGCAGCTGCTGAGGGGAGAGAGGCGCACGCGGACGAAGGCGGCCTCTCCAAGGAGACCGCGCACCAGCAGTCTCAGTACCCTCAGACGCCGCACCCCCAGACTCAGCACCCCCAGGCTCCTCATGCTCAAGCGCAGCACCCCCATACGCAGCACCCCCAGGCGTAGTACCTCCAGCCTCCTCACACTCAGGCGCAGCACCTCCAGGCTCCTCACGCTCAGGCTCAGCACCCGCAGGCTCCGAACCCCCAGGGTCAGCACCCCCAGGCTCCTCACACTCAGGCTCCACACCCCCAGGCTCAGCATCCCCAGGCTCCTCACACTCAGGCTCCGCACCCCCAGGCTCAGCACCCCCAGAGACAGCACCCCGAGCAGGACCACCCCCAGCAGGACCTGAGTCACCAGTGACCTTCACAGGCGCAGGCACGGGAGGGTCTACCTGAGAAACACCTGAAGGAGCAGGACCTGGCGCGGGGAGGTGGTCTACCTGGGGAGGACCTGGAGCAAGAAAGAGCGGCGGGGGGGGGGGGCGAGGGGCAGTGCGGTAGGGAAAGAGACGGTAAAAGGGGACTGACTCGTCAAAGGTGACGTCCTGAGACGGAAAGACACGGCGCGAGGCGGGGTCGTAAAACTGCCAGCCAGACGCGTCAGGGACAAAGCCAAGGAAGACGCAAGGAATGGCGAGAGGGGAGAGCTTTTCCGCGGTGGTATCGCGGACAAAGATACAGGCAACCCAGACTCGGAAACACGACGCATCGCCAACCTCCCCCGTCCATCGTAGTGTGGGCGAAGTCTCTGGCACGGAGACACGGGGCCAGAGGCTGAGCTGATGCGCGGTCTGTGTGAGGAAATGAGGAGGAGTGAGGAGCGGCGCGCTGCCGACCCTCGATGCAAGGAATGCAGGGGGGCGCAGGCAAGGGAGGGAGGGCAAGCAGAGACCTGGGAAGACCAGAGACCAGGGAGCGAGAGTGCATGCCATGAAGGCGAGGTAGGGAGGGGTGACCAAGGCGGTGGTGCCAAAAGAGAGTCTGGTGCGACAGGCGACGACACTCACACTGGATAACTACCTGAGCAGACGCGTACAGCTGAGGAGAAAAAGGGGTAGAGCGCGACACAGTGGTGAGGGTGTACAGACTTGACCCAGGCTCACGGGTGAACGTGGCCAGGTGGCGGCCGGTTCGAGAGCATGTGCAGATCGCCACACGCTGCCCTCCAGGAATAAAGGTGTCAACCCAATGATCCTGAAGGACGTCGTTGCTCACCAAGTTCATAGAGAACGAGGGGAGGTGGAGACCAGACAGCTCACTAGACGGGACCGCCAGACACGAAAGCACAGTGGAAGACCGTGCAAGCACTAGGCCCCAAGAAGGGTCAGCCAGTAAGAAAGGGACAGGTGCAGGGAGGGGAGTGACTGTGGTGCTGTCGCAAAAGAAACAGCGGGAAGCACCAGAGTCAAGTGTGAAGGTGTGCAAGGCCTCTGCGGACGCAGTACCAGGGAGAGCAGACTCACGAGCACCTAGAGTTGCAGGCGCTATACCTGGGGCTGTACCAGGGTCAGGCGGCACACACAAGTAGCAGTCACCCTCAGCACTAACAGTCAATGCATACATGGCAGCAAGAATAGCATCATAGTCAAGATCAAAGATATGTACATCATGCCTAAGCAGGTCTGCCCAGTTGGGGAACTCAATAGCATCAGGAAACTTGACGCGCCAGGCGTCGCTAAACCGAGCGAAGCAGCGGTACTCAGTATAAAAGCCGGTGCACTGGTGACCAGCGCGGGGACCTGAGAGAATGATATAGGGGCAGCGACCACGACCCCCAGACGCCCCACGCCCGGCATACCAGTCATGAAGCTGCTGGGAAGTGGGGGTCTGGCGCTAACGCTGCTGCGGCTGATGCTGCTGCTGTTGCTGCCCCTGGCCACCATTGGTCTCACCCTATCTGAGAGAACGTCTTCGTTATAATATTTATCATTATTAATATCTTATTCTCCGTTTTCTCCTCTTTATTTTGGTCTTTATATCATCTCAATCGGCCTACCATTCCATTTTCTGGAGCCTTCTCTTTATTTCACTTATTTCCTACTTTTCCCACCGACATATCTATTTTACGGCACCGACAGCGCCGATAGTGGTGTATACAGTGTAATCTGGGCGGAATCCCAAGTGCGAATAGCCTTGCATGTTTGTGCGCACTTGTGATTGTAGTATCGGGAAGGGCATGTTCCCGAAGGTTCGTTTTATCTCGTTTATCCTTGTATTTTCCGAGTATGAAAACGCCTTGTATTCAGTTTTAGTGACAAGTTTCGATAGAGAATTCGATCCTGTGACACTTGGTAATCAGAGCCGTTCTCACTCGACAACTCTCGACTAAGCAGCGGTCGCGGAAAAAATCGTCTCGAAAAACCGCCGGAGGCGACCAATTTGACGCCGATTTCCGGTAAGCACCAGTTCTGCGCTTTTCGAATTAACCCCCTCGCGTGTTTTCTGAACAAGATGGGTTTGCCGGCGACCAACGACGTTACGCAGCAGCTCTTCGCGCAAATCGCCAAGATGGAAGCGGAGATGCGAGCGACTACCAAACAGTCGCGATTGGAGAACGAGCAGCTGCGAAATGAACTACAGCGCTTTACGCAGCTCCTCTCGACCATGAACATTCCTGCTTCGGCGACTTCGCAGCAGAGGCATCGTCAGTTCGAGGTTTCGAAACTTCGCTCGACGGAATCGTTCGACCCCAGTGACAGGAAATCCGACGTCAGGCGATGGCTCGCAACGATCGAAACTTATTTCGTGGCAATCGAATGGTCGACGACGGAGTACGACGGCGAAAAAATTCGTCTCGCGACAACGTTGATGCGCGGCCCAGCTCTCGAGTGGCTCGGAAGCAGCAGTAGGATTTTCCAGGGCGAAGCCACGTGGCAGCAGTTCCGGGCAGACCTGCTCAAACGTTTTGAGCCGATTAATTCCACTTATATTGCGCGCAAAAAATTACATCACCGCCGGCAATACGAGAGTGTCGCGTAATACACGCAGCAGATGGAAGAATTTTAAAATCGCATTCCCGACATTACAGAGGGTGAAAAAAAACCAGTCCTACATCGAGGTGTTGAAAACCGACATTCGCCGCCAGGTTGCAGCAGCGAATTACAGCAGCTACAGCGAGATCGTATCGGTCACGGAGCATTTTGACTTGGTCAATACCGGAACACGACGACCCCATGTCGTCGG